ATTCTTGTTCTATTAAATTTCCACATGAAACCATTGGAGCGGCATTGTCTGTTGTTAGAGCGATTACCTTACTACTAATCTTCATTTCATTAAAAGTATTCACAAGAATATCTTTTATACGCTGCGCAGTGTGATTATATTTGAAGCGGAGAAGGTCAAGCAAGAAACGACGCATCTTCCATTTGTCATCAATATAATGTATAGTTATAGCTATATATGCTTGATTTGTACTTGATGTCCAAATGTCCGCGGTAAGTGCAACTTTAGTAGTAAGGTTTTCAAGCTCTTCTGCAACAAGTTTACGACGAGCTTCAAACCTAAATATGGTTACACTCTTTATATATTTACGAGATGGTAACACATATCTTGGATCATATACTTTTAACATTTCATAAACCAAAAGATATTTGATAAACTTGAATGGAAGTTGGGTACCAATTATAAAATTAAAGATAACATTAAAACAATTATTTTTACGTTCAGTATCTTCATTTCCATAAGGGTTTTCAGTTAAACTTAAACGATTTTTTTTAAATCAAGTATTATTTTATGTTTTTTTTTAAGGTGATTATTTAGAATTCCAGTGGATGTGTTGGGGCTATATATTTGTCTACATACTTTGCATTTTTTTTCTACTACTTTATTTTCAACTATTATTTTCTCTATATATTTCCATACAGGCGATGGCTCTTTACTTTTACTATTGCCCACCATAGAAGAGATTTTCATGGGCATTCTACTAGTACCGACGACCACATTTTTTGCACCTGTACTATCTACAATGTTTTCTACATATTTAGGATTTTCCATATCTTTTATTTCATCTACGTCTTCCATTTCATCTGTATCCTCATCCATATAATCTGTAAAATCCATTTCATCCGTATTCTCCACATCTTCCATGTCTGTATCTTCCATGTCTTCTATATATTCCATGTTTTCTGTATCATCCACACTATTGAAGGAATTTTTCTTTTCACTAACAGGAGTTCGGGCATTGAATTTTTTTGCGTTAGACATATTGGAACTGGATTAAAATTATTGAGTTGTATATTTTGTAAAGATTAAAATATGCACTTTGAAAAGGATAAGTATATTTTAAGAATGTTTTTTATCTTTTAACTTTTTTAAACTGCTGATTTTTATAATTTTTTTTTTGAATTATTAATCAGGACATTCTTAGATTTATATACATTAAATCAGATCACTTTAATGTACTATTAATGCAAGTAAAAGTTTAAGTAATTTTAATGATTAATTATTAGATAAATTATGATTAATGGTTTGTGAATCACAATATTTTTAGGCCATTTACAAGCATAATTATTCTAGGCTACACATGTAATTCAGGTAAAAAGTATATAACGGAGATACTTTTACGATTGTTAACGGATTAACGAATTTTAATAATTAATTTACATACTTATTAATTTAATAGAATCAATTAAATCAAAATTCTTCTACGCAAGCAAATGCAGGTAAAAAGTATGACGGAGATACTTTTACGATTTGTTAACAGATTTTAATATTTTACATATTAAATTAAGACAAAAAAGAGATATACTCTTATTCATAATTATTCAAGTTGAAGTACATGAAGGGATGATTTTGCGGTTATTAATGTATGTTAATAATTAATACTTACATACTTATTAATTTTAATAGTGTCTGATTGGGAATATTAAGAAAGATATGCGTCTAGTTGTTGGACTCGGGTGTGGGTAACCCGGGTGAAAACAGGTAATTATGAGATGCCGTGAACGGTGAGAAAGGACAACCCTAGGACTTTTGTACAGAAATCAACTATATAATTATAACCAAAACTAAAAACAATCCAACTCTGCCCCAAGACTCTTGAAACCTTGAGTTAGAAGGCAGAAAAAGGCGTAGAGAGACTTGGTCCAAGATTCAAGGCTCTTCGAGTCTTGCTGCGGGATATAAGTGTAACCGAGGTTCTGTTGACACTTGTGGGTTTATATGCTTCAATGAGTTGTCAAAGAAGATTTTCCTTTTAGATTTTAGCTTCACGAGGCTTCAGTATTCGAATACAATCGTTAAGACTCTTAACGATTGTCACGTGGGCACGTGTTTGCG